AAAAAAAAAAAAAAAAAAAAAAAAAAACAAAACAAAACAAAAGTATAAATAATGTGTATATTAAAAAAACATTAAACTAGAAACAAAATGATGATCAAAGAAATCTTTAAATATTTTAAGATTTTGATGACTCATAGTAAATAAAATTAAAAAATTAAAAAATCTATTAAACAAATTAAAAAGCTTATAAAGATTAAAATTATAAATTAACTCATAAAAGATTAAAAAAAAAAAAAAGAAGTTTCCAACGGATAGAAATATAAATGAACAAACCATGAAAGTAGTGCCAATAGAGGATAGTGCCAACTTTGCCCCATTCGCCTTCATGTAACTCGATGCTTTGTATTTTATCGGGAGAGATATTGGACATATGGTGAGGTTTTTGATGAAATATTTCATGAAACTTTTCAACTGAAGCGTTCACTTCTACCTCAGTCTCCAACTTCCCATAGAGAGCCATGGCATTGAGTTACTTAAATGGTAACCCAACAACGATAAGGATATTGCTATTTAAAGACAAGGCTTACTCTCACACATGATGCAATATTATTGGATCTATTGGGAGATGAATTTTACATTTTTATCCTCTATTTTATAATTATTTTCTCTCTTTTTTTAAACAACTTAAAAGAGGTAAAATAAGTTTCAATTATATTCTTAAACTTAAAAAATGTGACCAAGTAAAGGCGAAGTACAAAAACGAATTAAAACCAGACTTGAACGAGAGAAAATATGATAACTAAGAAAATAAAAGAATTCAAAGTTACTGCTTATATGAGCAAGGTGCAGTTTTTTTTTTTTTTCTTTTTCTTTCCGTTGCTCAATTATAGAAACTTCATAGTTAAACATGTTTTTCTTTGAGCAATTTTATGTTGGGTGATCTCCTCGAAAATTTTCATTTTTTTAAGATGCATGTGAATAAAGACAAAATATACTGAAATAACTCGTGTTAGTCTATGAGCATAGTTTTGATCTTTGAACTAAGGAATATTAAAATATGAATTCCAATTTATTCTTACTGTTATTATGCTATAACACTAATTTGGTTACGTGGGTATGAACAATATGATATAATTAAACAACCACTATAAGACATAATTAAGGCTAGGGTTATAATGTAGTAGGTTATACATTATTAATTCGAACCTTCTATTTTCTATAATTGTCTTTTAATGATGCATTATGGAGAGCTTAGACGTTGAGATTTTAAATACTAATGTATAAAGTTAAGTTTTTTTTTTTTTTTTTTCTTTTTATACATTTTATATTATATATATATATATATTTAAGACGGACAAATCCATACGTTAAATTATCAAAATACGATTTTGAGTATTTGGGACGGTTCCAGGTGTGATATGCTAACATTATGTTATGCTATATGATA